GGTGGCAGGTTGGATGCAGTAGCTCCAGACATCACATCCTTACCATCCAGAGCAGAAGAAAAGGACTGTTTCTTTCGTGTAGGTATCATTTTAAGAACAAGAAACCTTTTCCAGAGTCCGTCCTCCCCTTAGCTGCTTTCTCCTTACATCAGCCAGAACTGGATGATAAGCCCGACCGCAGTCATTGGCACAGGAAATGAGTCCACACAGCTGTCTTAGAACAATCAGAATTAACCTGAGTCACACAGGGGGAGACAGTAGACCCTGAATCAGAAGTTGGGCTCCACAGGCTAGGAAGGGGAGACATGGCTGTTGAATAGTTTTCCACTCATGTCTGCTGTGGTCTCGGTCCCCCGTGGGCACTGGCTGGATTTCATCACAGATCCACCTACAGCAGGAGAGGGCATCGGGCTCGGTTTTGAGCTCCGGTCTCAGGATTTGTTAGGCTTTCATCTAACGTATCTCTGTGGGTCTGAAATGGAACCATCTCCTACCTCTGTATGGCCGTCTAATGCTTTCAACAAATGTAGCTCCAAAACACGACATTCCTGGCCTCTTCCTATCTCTGCTGTCCATCTGTATCTGCAAGGGTCTGTGCCATCCTGGGACGTTTTCTCTCTCCTCTCCCCTTGAACCCACGTCTCTTCTGACAGCTGTCATCTCCCAGTGGATTTAGGCCGAGAGGCACTCCTGGGGGATACGGAAGGACACTTTTCCTCCAAAGCAACTATGCAGGAGAGTGATGGCTGTGCATTGTCCCGTTGACAAAGACCTTGCCTTTTTGTAAGGGTCAGACAGTGGGAGGAGGGATTAAAAAATCTTTCAGGTTATTTTTAGGATGGGAGACCGTGTCACTCTGTGGGCAGCATAGCCTGGGGCTTCACGACAATTGCACTTTTCAGTCCCGTTCCACTGGCTTTCTCATAGGTGGAGTGGCATATCTCCCCCATTCTGGGATTCAGCTGTCTAGACTAGCTTACGTTGATGTTCTGAGTTTTCAACTCTTTCTGTACCTTTCTGTTTTCATCAGAATTGGGAAGAGACTGCAGGTGGGGGCTGCTAGATGGTTACCATTTAAAACCGGAAGCCATGTTCATGCACTTTTCAAAGAGTGAGCTGCATGGGCCCTGTCCCATAGCCACCTGGTATCTACTTCCCCTCAATCCCCCAAAGTCACCAGGAGCCTCCACATTGTTAAAGCCAGAGGGCGCTTTGAATCCTAGTCTCACCCTGTCCTTTCTCAGCAAATGATACTGCCAACCGCTGGCTCTTCTAGTTAGTAAACTTGCATGGAGCGCTTGCTCTGTCAGATATTGTGCTAAGCTCTTCATATACATTACTTTATAAAATTCTTACAGTGAGCCTAATGAGGTCAGAATTGTTTCCATTCTACACATGAGGAAACTGAGTCTCTTGCTCATGGACTGGAAGCTAATAACCAGAAGACTCAGGAGGGAACCTTCTTAAATGTTCTCTTCCCTGGGCTTCTGTGATCTCATTTGCTCCTGGCTTTCCTGCTCTCTCTCTCTGGCTCCTCGTGTTCAAGCTCCTCTTCCTCAACCTGCCTCTTAAATGTATGTTTCCTAAAAGCTTTTCTTTCTCTTTCTGTGCCTCCTCCTGGGAAGCTTCATCCAGTCCCCTTCTGATGGCTCTTGGGTCTCCATCTCATTTCCAGGTACCTTTTGTGAGTCTTGAAACCACCTATATAGCTGCCTTTCCAGCATCTTCTCTTGGAAGTGTGTGTGTGTCGTGAGAACACTTAAGATGTCTCTTAGCAATTTCCACGTATACAATACAATATTGTTATTTTTAAAGGTTTTTTAAAAAATGTTTTTATTTATTTTTGAGACAGAGAGAGACAGAGCATGAGCAGGGGAGGAATAGAGAGAGAGGGAGACACAGAATCTGAAGCAGGCCCCAGGCTCCGAGCTGTCAGCACAGAGCCCGACGTGGGGCTTGAACCACGAACTGTGAGATCATGACCTGAGCCGAAGTCAGATGCTTAACCGACTAAGCCACCCAGGCGCCCCTAAGATTTATTTTTTAATTTTTATTATTTAATTATTTTGAGAGAGAGAGCGTGAGCGGAGAAGGGACAGAGAGAGAGGAAGAGAGAGAATCCCAAGCAGGCTCTGCACTGTCATCACAGAGCCCGATGTGGGCCTCGAACCCACAAACTGTGAAATCATGACCTGAGCCGAGATCAGGAGTCAGAAGCTTAATGGACTGAGCCACCCAGGTGCCCCTACAATACAGTACTGTTGACTATAGTCACCATGCTGTACATTAGATCTCTAGAACTTATTCGTCTTCTCACTGAAAGTTTGTACCCTTTGACCAACATCTCCCATTTCCCCAGCTCCTAGCCCTTGGCAACCACCAATCTACTCTGTTTCTATGAATGTAGGTTTTTTAGATTCCACATATAAGTGAGATCATGCAGTATTTGTCTTTGTCTTTCTTCTTTCACATAACATAATGCCCTCAAGGTTCACCCATGTTTTTGCTGATGACACAATTTCTTTTTTTATGGGCTGAATAACATCCCTTTATATATATCATTTTCTTTTCTTTATTCATTCATCCATCAACAGACACTTAAGTTATTTCCATCTCTTGGCTATTGTGAATAATGTTGCAATGAACATGAGACTGCAGATGTCTCTTCGAGATAGTGATTTAATTTTCTTTTTTTTTTTTTTAATTTTTTTTTCAACGTTTATTTATTTTTTTTGGGACAGAGAGAGACAGAGCATAAACGGGGGAGGGGCAGAGAGAGAGGGAGACACAGAATCGGAAACAGGCTCCAGGCTCTGAGCCATCAGCCCAGAGCCTGACGCGGGGCTCGAACTCATGGACTGCGAGATCGTGACCTGGCTGAAGTTGGACGCTTAACCGACTGCGCCACCCAGGCACCCCGTGATTTAATTTTCTTGGGTTGTATACTCAGCAGTGGGATTGTTGGATCATAAGGTAGTTCTATTCTTAAATTTTTGGAAAACCTCCATGCTGTTTTCCATAATGGCTGCACCAATTTGTATTCCCACCAACAATGCACAGGATTCCAGTTTCTCCACATCCGACACTTGTTATTTTCTGTTTTGTTTTGTTTTTGACAGTAGCCATCCTCACAGATCTGAGATGGTATCTCATTGTGGTTTTGACTGGTGTTTTCCTGATGATTAGTGATTTTAGACATCTTTTCATGTGCTTATCGGTGATTGGTCTGTCTTCTTCGGAGAAATGTCTATCCAAATTCCCTCCCCATTTTAAATTGGGTTATTTGTAGGTTTGTTGTTGTTGTTGAATTGCAGGAGTTCTTTATATATTCTGGATATTAACGCCTTATCAGATATATGATTAACAAATTTTTTTTTTTCCATTTCATAGGTTGCCTTTCATTTTGGTGATTGTTCCCGTTACTGTTCGGATGTTTTTAAGTTTGGTGGGATCCCATTTGTCTATGTTTGCTTTCATTTCCTGTGCTTTTGGTGTCACATCTGAGAAATCATTGCCAAATCTAATGGCATGAAGCTTCCCTGTATATTTCCTCCTGGGAGTTTATGGTTTCAGGTCTTACATTTAGGTCTGTAATTAATTTCATGTTAAATTTTGTATGTGGTATCAGGTAAGGATCCAACCTCATTCTTTCGTTCGCATGTGGACAATTAGTTTTCCCAGCACTGTTGGGTGCAAAGACTGTCCCTTCCCCATTGGGTGGGCTTGGAACCCCTATCGAAAATCATTTCATCATATCTGTGAGGGTTTATTTCTGGGCTCTCTATTCTGTTCAGTTGGCCCACATTTCTGTCTTTTTACCAGTACCAAACTGTTTGGATTATGGTGGCTTTGCAGTGTTTTGAAGTCAGAGTGTGAGGCCTCCAGCCTTGTTTTTCTTAAGATCATGTTGCTATTCATGGTCCTTTGATTTTCCATATCAATTTTAGGATTTCTTTTCTATTTCTGCAAAAAACAATTTTGTTGCAAATTGAATTGGATTTGTAAGTCGCTTTGGATAGCCTGGACATTTTAACAATATTAAGTTTTCCACTCCATAAACACGATGTCTTTCCATTTATTTGTATCTTCTTTAATTTCTTTCAGTGATGTTTTCTGATTTTCGGTGTACAAGTCTTTCACTCCTTTGGTTACCTTTATTCCTAAATATTTTATTCTTTTTTGCTGCAATTGTAAATGGGATTGTTTTCTTAATTTCCTGTTCAGATTGTTCGTGGTTAATATGTAGAAATGGGACTGATTTTGCATGTTGACGGTGTATCCTGCAACTTTGCTGCATTCGTTTAGTAATTTTAACAGGGTCTTGTGGAAGTTTTAGGATTTTCTACATAGAGGGTTATGTCACCTGTGGACTGAAATAATTTTACTTCTTTCTTTCCAATCTGAATGCCTTTTCTTTCTTTCTCTTGCCTAAGCTCTCTGGTTAGGACTTCAGTACTATGTTAATTAGAAGTGTTAAGAGTGGACATCCTTGCCTTGATCCTGATCTTCAAGGAAAAGCTTTCAGTTTTCCACCATTGAGTATGTTCGCTGGGGCTTTCTCACATATGGTCTTTATTATATTGAGGTAGTTTCCTGCGATTCCTAGTGTGTGCCAAGCGGATTGACTCTTAACCAGACCGTTAGAAGAGTTAAGTAGGTGGTCTTCCTGCTCCTATGCTTTTTAATGCCTCCAAACCACAGAAAGTGTAGAAAAGAACCTGGGGTGTTAGAACCAGCCACCACTAGTGCAGCTGGAATGCAGGGGGTGGGCAAGAATCAGGTGGCTTGGCGCTTCGCTCGAAGAGACAGGGAAGCTGAGACCTGTAAGGTGAGAGCGGGCTCCCCTCTGGTCCTAAGACAACTCAGGCCCCGCCCCTCAGGAGCTTCTGGCCCCGCCCCGCCCGTCTGGCCCCACCCCCACCCTGCATGCCCCGCCCTTCCAGTCCCCGCCCTGCCCCACGGTGGGTTCCCATCGAGAACCGAGTGTTCCTTACTTTCAGCGCCCTGGGAGGAGGATGAGATCCGGAGGGACCGAGTGGAGCCCCAGAGTGTGTCCCTGTCGTGGCGGGAGCCTATCCCTGCCGGAGCTCCCGGGGCTAACGGCACGGAGTACGAGATCCGATACTACGAGAAGGTGAGGTGAGGTCTGGGCGGGACCTGAGGCTGCATTCCGGGCTGTGGTCCTTTTCTTCACAACCTCCTCGAGGCAAAAGCCCTTCTTACTTTCCTTGTGAACACATCCACCGGCCTCCTAAGTGGCTTTTGGCAGGCCTGAGTTTCTTCCTATCCTCCCCCTCGACTCCGTGCATGGACCCCCCACTGCTCGTCGGCTGTCCCCTTCCCTGCCCCTCACTGGTCATCAGCTCCATTGTCACCACTTTGGCCTAGTGTTTGCAGTTCACTAAGAGCTTTCTCTAGGGACTCATTTCCATCTTGTGTGGCCGGACCATATGCAATTTGCAGCCCTTTTTAAGAAAAAGAAGGCTAAAGTACCATACTCTTTCAAAATTTACAAATTGACCTACACTGGTAGGTCAGGTGGTCTGCTGGGGCTTGACCATGTGCTGGTCAATGTTTAATGCTCCACTCTCCGGAACAATGAGTGTATGAGTTACCCTGACAATTTTACTATAGAAAAGATGTGTCATATGTCGTTTACAAGGAATAAGGAAAGATACACAGCTTCTCCATATTGTAAACCCCGCATAGCCAATTGATTCTTACAGGATGCTTTTGCTGATTTTTGCTAACTTCTTGTATCTGTTGTCAATCAATAGTCGCAGTTCAACCTCGATTTGCCAAGTGGAGATATATCCTGATCCACTGTCTCCTTCCTCCTTGAATGTATTGTCTTTATTTTTTTTTTAAATTTTTTTTTAATGTTTTTTATTTATTTTTGAGACAGAGAGAGACAGAGCATGAACGGGGGAGGGGCAGAGAGAGAGGGAGACACAGAATCGGAAGCAGGCTCCAGGCTCTGAGCCATCAGCCCAGAGCCCGACGCGGGGCTCGAACTCACGGACCGTGAGATCGTGACCTGAGCCGAAGTCGGACACTTAACCGACTGAGCCACCCAGGCGCCCCGAATGTATTGTCTTTAAATGTGATACGTAATCTGCTGTTAAACTGCTCCTCACCTTGGTGCAAATCTTATTCCTTCAAGCGAAACCTTGCTCTCATCTTCAGCACTTAATGTGTCAGAGCTTCACTCACTCCTGAGTGACTCAGGGGACTTCTTGGCTGAGTCAGAGAATAGTTTTTGAATACTAGACGTCTACCGAGAGCTGTGAGTTTGGGGTTGGGGGGGTTGGTGAACACAAAGGAGGAGGAACTCCTGAGTCACGGCTGGGCCATCTAGGGGATGGGGTGCCGTGGACTGAAAAGGGGGAGCAGAATCGAGGTAAGAGGATGAGTTTGATTTGGCCCATGCAGTGTTCAGGGGGCCTCTGGGACATCTAGGTGGGCTTGCAGGTCTGCAGCTCAAGGGAGAGGCCTGGCGCTGGACGGAGAGTTGGGGCCCTTTCTGCACGGGGCTAGGAGCTGAATGAAGCCAGGGGCCAGAAGAGATGGCCTAGGAGGACAGGGAGGGTGAGAAGAGGGGACAGGACAGGGCTCTGAGGAACCCTGACGTTTGGGAGATGGCAGAGAAGGACACTGGGAAGGAGCTGGGCCATGCAGTAGAGTCCAGAAGCTGAGCTGGCAGATGCTCCAGGCCCTTAGGGGGTGTGCATTTGCTGGGAACAAAAAGCCTTGAAAAGAGGGTCCTGTGCAAGAGGGGCTCTGTTTGAAAGGCTTCAAGGGCGTCGCCTGGAACCCAGTGACCACAAATCTGGGAGGCACAGTGCTCCTTATCTACACTCTGCTCTCTGGGTGCCGGTCCCGCGTCCTCTGCAGAGGGGCTTTGCTCAGGGCATATCACAGCTGCCTGGGTTGACAGCCTTGCCTCTTTCTTCCACCCGGGCCCTAGCCTGCCCGGCTCAGAAGGGCCACAGCCCTTGCCTCACTGTCTTTCAGTGACTCATTCAAATACCTGGAAGGGAGATTCTGATTGGCCCGGTTTGGGTCAGCGTCTGCCCCATTCCTGAATACCATGGTCAAAGAACTGGGCCACATGATATCGGGAGGCTGTGGTTGTGGCAGGGGCTGTAATAAGGTGGCAGGGGGTGGGGACAGAGACAAAATGATGACAGCATCTCCAATAGACCCCATTCTCAGACATGTTGGGGGGCAGCATGATATAGAGATAAAGCACGGGACCTGAAGGAATCAAGAAGGTGTCGTCCTGCCCCTTCCTTCATGTGACTGTCACCTTTAAAAGATGGAAATACTGTTGTGAGGACTTAGGTAGTCAGGGCTCTAAAGAGTCTGCATAGCAGCTGACAGCAAGCTGACCCTCACTCCATGACAGCTGTTGCTGTCCCCACTGTCTAGTGGGGGCCTCAGGCAAGTCTGTCTACCCCTCTGCCCCCGATTCCTTATCTGTGAATCCATGCCTTGCAGGACATTGTGAAAACCAGATGACAAAGAGGAGGAAAATCTTTGTGAGCCGGCAAGGGCCGGGCAGGTGTCAGGGTTCAGTTTCTTCTTCTTTCCTCTGTGACATCAGGCCCTGCTCACCCTCTGGACTTCCAGGCCCTGATGTCCATCCCCAAGAAGGAGGATCTAGCATCTTCTCTAAAGTTTCTCTTACTGTTCTTCGCCACAAGTACCACTGAACCCAGGTGGGGACTTGCGTGGAGAGAGGGGTTGGAGAAGCTGTGGAAGAAACGGATGGAGCCCTCCCCAGACTGTCGGATTCAGCTTCTTCCGCCTGGTCCCTGCTCACCTGAGGGCTCTTCTCCCTTCTCCGCCTCCCCACTCCTTTCCCCTGTCATTCTCCAAGGAGTGTGGGTCTGGCCCTGGGTCCAGGCCTCACTTCTTGGTCCTTCCTCAGGGTCAGAGTGAGCAGACTTACTCCACGGTGAAGACAGGGGCACCCGCGGTCACTGTCACCAACCTGAAGCCGGCTACCCGCTACGTCTTTCAGATCCGGGCGGCTTCCCCGGGGCCCTCCTGGGAGACTCAGAGCTTCAATCCCTCCATTGAAGTGCAGACCCCAGGGGAGGGTAAGTGATGTGTGTATGTGGAAAGGGCTCCGGGCAGAGAAAACTCAGGCATGGGGCTGGGGCAGGGGGACAGACTGGGGAGGGGGTGGTCCTCTGTGCACTTAAGGGAGCCCGCAGAACAGCTCAATTACAACCTAAATAGTTACCGAACTTGGAATCCGCTGACTGGGGCCTATTCAGTGACATGAATAAGTTGGGGGTGGGGAGGCCTGTCCTGGGGGAGCCCATAGGGGAGGGGCTCACGAGCAATTCTAACCCATGTCTCCAGCTGGAGTCTCCCAGCCTCTCAAGACCTCTCACGTCTTGTAGAAACATGCTGTGCCCTCTCCAAGATTCTTGACTATTTTTTTGGGAGGAGTTTCAGTCTCATGGTCACTTCTTGCTCGGATGGCTAAATGCTTTCCCATTCTGCTGCTTTCCCTCTGCCATGATACAGGCTCACACACGGGATGTCATTCCTTTCCCCACCAGGCCCTGGAGCGAGAGGCAGGCTTCTGTGAAGGCTGGGGCCCCAAAGGGGCTGCCCTGCAGCAATAAACAAAACACAACAAGAATTGTACCCATTCAGTGGGGGAATTGTGCGGTACATGACTAATTCCTCCAATAAAGCTGTCATCAAGACAAAACAAGACAAAACAAAACAAAAGCTGTACATCAGACATCAGATCCCCTGATTCTAAAACCGTGCCGGCTTCTCCGGTGGTATAGTGCTGCCCACTGCCTCCCTTCACCTCCCTCCCCTGGCTCCTCTTCTCCCCACCCCCCGACCCCCAAACTCCCTTTCATGGTGAGCGATGAGCAGCTTAGCTCTGGCTTTGGTGGTTTTGCCTGCTGCTAACCCCGCCCTCAGGATCTCACCTCTATCTACCCCGAGCAGTTCATGAAAGTATTTTCTTGGACAAAGGCGGTTCCCCCTAAGAGGCATTCTGACACCAGCTGTCAAGATAATAATTCTTTCCAACCTGCTACACGAGTCTAATCCAAGATAGGAAGAGCTCTGGCCCAAAGGGAGGTGGAGATAAAATGTAGAGGGAGTCAGGCTTCTGGGAAAAGAGAGGGTACTTCTTGCTCGAATGCCTGTCTGTGCCAGACCTCGGCCAGGTGCTGGCGAGAGGAGATTAGAGCTCTGTCTTGAAGGCTAGGGAGCATTTGAATGCCAAGACGCGCAGGGGAGGCATTTCGGGTAGAAGAATCCACCTGAACAAAGGCTCACGGGCTGGGCTGGAGTGGGCGTGGTGGGGGCAGGAGCTGGGGGCTGGCTGGTCGCTGAAAAGGGCTGAGGGTTTCCATTCATTTGGTGCTTCTCAGTGAGTAGACCCTGCTCGGACCCCCAGCCTCCTTTGCTGTGGTCCTGGTTCTGCAGGAATGGGCCTCCCAGTCTGCAGAGCACTTCTTCCAGTGAGCTGTGATCCCAGCTCAGGAGCACAATGAGGGACGGTGCTTCAGCACTGTATCAGTTATCCATTGCCGCGGGACAAATTACCCCCAAGCGAGTAGCCGCGAACGGCAGACATTTATTCTCTCGTGGTTTTTGTGGGCCAGGCATCTGGGTGCGGCTTAGCTAGGTGCCACTGGCTCAGGGTCCCTCGTGGCTGCGGTCGTCTCAAGGCCTAATGGGGAGAGAATCTGCCTCCCAACTCAGGTTCTCACTGGCTGTTCACTGGGGGCACGTGGTTCTCTGCCTCTTGGGCTTCTCCCTAGGGCTCTGCATAACACAGCATCTAGATTCTTCCTGAGACAGTGACAGAGAGAGAGGGTGCCCGAGACAAGCTGCAGTCTCTTGTCACCTCATCTTGGAGGTGACATCCCATCACTTTGGCTGCATTGTTTGTTAGAAACAAGTCACTATGTCAAACCCATACTCAAGGGGACTAAATAATACCAGGAGGTAGAGAATCCAGCGGGGACATCTCAGAGGCCACCTTCCACAACTGCCCTGTCTCCATTTCCATGTCCACACGGATACCTCATTCCACATAGTTCTTGGCAACTCCGCCCACCTCTGGCCTGACCAGACCCCAGGCCATGTCCCCACCTCTGGGAACATGGGCTCTAAAATCCCCCCTTTGACCATGGCCTTGTTGGCCCCTAACTCTCCCTCCCTTTTCTGTCCCTTGTCACTTGACTGTGACATCTTCCCGACAGCCCTGGGGCTCCGACCTCATATCCCAGGCTGTCACCCCCCTTCTGGCCCCATGTCACCCCAGGCGCTACAGATCCTCCCTGGGGAAATGCTCCCCAGCTGTGCTGGCCCTCACTGCCCGGACGCTGTGCTGCACTTGTGTTCCTCCTCCCGGAGCCCAGAGCCAGCGCAAGTCCTGTGTCCCACGTCTCATCTCATCTCAGTGGAGTCTTCAGGGCTGCATAGCATCTCCCCCATTCTCGATAGTTTCCCCAAACCTGCACCTCTCTCGCGCACCTCCTGTCCATCCAGATACTTCCAGCCCTTCCCCCTCAGGCAGGAACCCTGTCCATTGCTCCCTGGCTCCCTGTCACCCTCAGGATGAAGTTCCCACTTCTTGGCCTGGCATCCCAGGCCCTCCGGGCGCCCTCTCCTCCCCCAGTTCCCATTTTCCTCCCGCTGTCCAGCTTCACGTCTTGGCGCTCTCAGCCTTCTGTGGTCTGTATCCCAGCCCCACAGGATGGCTTGCCGTTTCCCAGACCCAGCATGTGCGTCCGAGCACCACCCAGACCTTTTCCGATCTCCCAGGCCCAGAGCAGATGTCACGTCTCTTCTGCGAAGCCTTCCTCGCTGGCTTTTAGGAAGAAACTAGCATGCCTCTGCTCAGCAGTCTGTTTCTGTTGTCTGCAGTTAGGATTTTTGTTTCTGTCTCTCCCACTGGTCTGGACACTCCTCCAGGGCAGGGATTCTGGCTCATTCATCACTGTCTCCCCAGTACTGGCGCCAGCCTGTCACACATGTTGGATGGATGGATAGATGGAGTTGAGAGCCTGGGGTCCTTTAGGCCACTCTCTTGGGGACATAGTTCAAAGTGGAGGCTTTTGGAATCAGGTTCAGACCTCCAGTTCACCATGTATTAGTCGTGGAACCTTGGGCCTATCACACAACTTTTCTCAATGTCAGTTTCCTCAGCTATAAAATGGAGACACCACCGCCTTACCTGCTTGTTGTGACAATGAAACAGGACCATTTAGTTAAGGCACGTGACACGGTGCCCTGAATGGAGTAAGTGTGTACTAAACGTTAACTCATGTTGTAATTGTCGGTGGATGGTCTGGATGGGGCTGGGGAGCTCAGGTGAGAGGCCATGCCCCCTGCAGAGCTATGTTAAGTCAGTGCCCATCGGAAAGGCAGAAGGAGAGGTGCAGCCCTGCCTCTCTGGACCCCTGGTCCTCTCTCTCCGAACTGGACTGCCCTGAGAGAGGAGGAAGCTCCAGGTGCCAGTGTGGTTGGTGGGGCTGCCTTGGTCCCTCTGCTGTGGGAGCCGGGGCCAAGTGCAGAGGTGCCGTGGGGGGTGGGCAGGCGTCTGCACTGGGGCCTCCCCAGGAGCCTGGTCCTCTGCCTGCCTCAGCCTCGCGGTTTACCCCCAGCTGCCTCAGGGTCCAGGGACCACAGCCCTGCGGTCGTCGTCACGGTGGTGACCGTCTCAGCCCTCCTCGTCGTGGGCTCTGTGATGAGCGTGCTGGCCATGTGGAGGAGGTAGGTGGCCGCTCCCAGCCTGGCTGGCCCCTGGTGGGTCGTGTCCCCGTGCGCACTAACGTGTGCTCACGGCCCCTGTGTCTGTACCTGCATTTGCGCACATGCAGATCTGCACACGCAAGCATACTGCTGTGTAGATCCAGGCTTGGCTTGCACGGGCCCCGGCCCCTCCCCCGCTCGCTGCTCCCACGGCAGCCAGCATTGCAGCTGGCTCAGCCGCTCTGGGATGAAGGGGATTTAGCTCCTTAACTCATTAAATGTCAGAAGGCATCACTGAGGATGGAATCAAGCGCCAGCTGCTCCAGTGTGATTAGGGTTCTCCTGAGGCGCTCAGAGGCCCCCCAGCCCCTGCCCGCCGGGGATCCGGAGGCCCTCGAACACAGGCGAAGGGAAGAAAGGCAGAAATTGCGTGTGGGAGGGGGGAGGACAGGGAGGGGAACTCATAAACCAGAACCTCCCCCCCACCCCAACGCTCAGCAGAAGGAAGCTTGCAGGAGAGTGGGCAGAGAAGGGGGGTGGGAGGAGGGGAAAGGATGTGGAGCTTGAGTTTGGTTCAGAGAAGATTCCAGTCCTTTTGCATGCAGCAGAAACCTCACAGCGTGTATTTGCCCCTTCTCCCCACGGCCACACTGCTGCACGCAGAGGTGCCAGGCTGGGGCTGAGGTCGGCAGACTTGAGGGTTGGAAAGTCTGCGTGTGATGGGCTGGAGCGGGCGTAGCAGAGGAGAGTGATGGCTGGTCAGGGAGCCGCATCCCAGCACATCTCAGCATCCCGGGACTCCCTGTGGGTTGAAGGGACAGCGAGCATTCACCCGGCACTGTCTGTGTGGCCTTGAATGAGGCACTGCAAGCGACTGAGGAGGGGAGGGCCTTGACCTGTGGGTCTGGGAGCCAGCTCTGCCTGGGCTAGGACAGTCAAGGAGGCAGGACAGGAGTAGTGAGCCCCTTTCCAGTGCTCAGACACCCATATTGGACCAGTTGGAAAAGCTGGAATGTCCAGGAGCCAAGAGCCTCTTGTCCTGGCTGGGAGCTTAAGGGCTCAGGGAGACGGGAGGAGGAGCAGGGAGAGAGGGGCATAAGAAGCACCCCTCCAGGCAGGGACTGTGCAGGACAGGAGTAGCTGCCCAGGAGCAACTTGGAGACAGATGCACTAGGGTGGGCAGAGTAAGCCATGGTCGGTCTCAAAACCCGCTCAAAATCCAATGGCACTGAAGTGGAGGTGGGGAGAGCCTGCCGGTCTCATGCCGATGGGCATGGCACCTGTCCGGCGCGTCCAGCCACCTCTGCAGGCTGGTGTCTGATGTCTGCAGTGCTTGCTCTGTGCACGGTCTCCTCGCCTCCGCTTCCTCTCCCCGCTCCATCCTGGCCCATCCCCCTTCTCGCCAGAGGGTGTTGTCCAGTGGAAGCTTCTGGATTTCTCTACGACTCCTCCATCCACTCAGTCTTGCCCCCTTCCTTTCCACCCACCTCTCCTGGATGATCCCTTCATTCATGGAAGCAGGTCCCCACTCTAGGAGACTTCAGTAGCTATTGGATGACTGGTGGCTTATTGGGACTTATAACAGACAGCCCTTGGCTTATTGGTTCTTGAACTTCCTCATTCCCAAGGACCTTTTCTTCTGTTCCACCTCTACGTCCCTCTCCCAGATGCTGCCATGGACCTGGCCATCGCCCCAGATACGGAGTCCAGCTCTTGCACGTGTGCCCCGCAGGTGCCCTGTCCTTGCAGCTTGCCCCCTCGGCCGCATTGATTGCACCTGCTCCTTCACTGCATCATTGCCGCCCCCCAGCTCCTCACCCCCAAGTCTGCACACCTACCTGTCTCTGCCCCCGCCCGCCCCCTCCCTTTGCTCTAGAGGAGGTGCCTTCCTCCTGCTCCTTCCCACTGTGATCCGAACCCCACCCCTTCTCGCCATCACAGGAACCTGTACTATTTCTAGTGCCCCCCCCCCCTGCCCCACATAACAGCTGACATTTATTGACTGCTTAGCAAGCTCTGTGCAACAGTGCTGTATCAGGTAGGGTTGTCTTGATCCCAATTTTATTAAAGAGAAATCCCAGCCTCCCTGTCCCGCAGCTACCAAGTGGAGGGGCTGGGAAGCCAGTCTGTGCATGAGGTTCCAGAGCCTGGACTACTGACCATCATCGTGACCATTTTATCCTAAATGGCAGCCTTTTCCCCCTTTCCCATCCGTACAGAAGGGTGATCTTCTCTCTCCAGTCTCCCTAACCGCCCCTCCTTGGAGCCTTCACGCCGTCTCTCTCCTCTGCTCCACTTTCTCTTTCCTTCGTTCCTGTGACAGTGTCACCCCTGATTTCCTTTCTGTTACCCTTTGGCTTCTCTGGTGGTTCTTTTGTGATGTCCTCCACTGCTCCTTTCCTCTCTACCCGATCTCTCAGTGTTGGGGTCCTCAGACTCGTTCACAGTCCCCCTTCCCAGTCTCTGTCGTCTTCCTGGACAATGCCCCCAGCTCCCAAACTTGTATCTCCAGAGCAGACCCCTCCTCCAAACGCCCCACACTCCTTTCTAACTCCTTACTCCTCGCCCCTCCCTGCCTACTCTGTAGGCTCAGCAGACCCTACCGGCTCAGCACGAGCCCTTTGCCACCCCGTCCTGGTAAATGGCACCACCATGAACAGGTGGGCAAACTGAACACCAAGAGTCATTCCTCCCTTCTCTCTCCCCCTTTCTGCCTTCTAGCAGTCTCTGAGCCCTGTGCCCCTGTCACCTAAACGTCACTTGTGTCCTCTTGCTTTTTGTTCTCTGTGTCCACACTCACCCTGTAGCCTGAGCCACGGCCAGCTCCTGCGGGGCCACAGCTGCAGCCAGGATGGTATTTCTAAAATACAGATTGAGTCATGACACCTTGGCACCCCGGGGGCTCTCCTCTGGGCCAGCAAGGCCCTGCCTCAGGGGCCCCAAATGCCAGTCTGTGGTGCTTTTGATGGTGATGCCGTACTTTGGTCCATGACTGCCTCTGCAGGAAGCCGCCCTTGATGGTCTAGGGGGTCAGGTCCCTCCGCCGTGTGTTCTCAAAACGTTGTGCCCTTCTCCTCTGTTGGTACCTGTGAGCAGGCTTGTGACTGATGCTCAGTGCTTGTTTCCCTGGCTAGACCAAGGCCCCCCTGAGTGCAAGGGCCACCTGTATTGCTCACTGGTAGGCAGGCAGGCAGCTTGGGTTCAAAGTCGGGGGTATGGATTTGGGTACCTCTGGAATTGCAAGAACGTGCATTGTGTCTTAGAGCGAAAATAATTAGGAATAATTAGGATGAGGGGTTAGGTCTGGGGCTAGGGTTATAGGTTGACTGCTTTCAAAGCAGGACAAGCCAAATCTGGGGCACAGATCTTGTGGTTTGGAAGGGATAAGGAGGTGCCACCCTGGGCGCTGGTGAGATGGGAAGGGGATGCTGCCCAGCTCAGAGAAGGACTCTGCACCTCCGCAGGCCCTGCCCCTATGGCAAAGGAGGTCAGGATGCCCACGACGAGGAGGAGCTGTACTTCCACTGTGAGTTGTTGCCTGGCCCCTCCTTAGCCCTCTTTCTTGCTGTGCTTGCGTAACTACTCCCCCCCCCC